TTGTATACCTAACCCTTAACTGTACCCCACAATATCAAAATAAAAAATATCGATTAAATAAACAAAATCAGAATTTCTCACAACTCCCTGCTTTTAGGTTTGAAATTTGCTAGAATGACTCATAGAACTCAAGAAAACCCTTTACTTACATTTACCAGTTTATCTAAAGAACACAACCCAGGAACAGCCAAATGGAAGAGATGCACAGGGCAAGGCATGATGGAGAAGGGAGTTGCATGGAGCTTCCATGCTCTCTCCAGGTGCACTACCTCCCACCACCTAGACGTGTTCCCAATCGAGAGGCTCGCTAAACCCCATCCCCATTATTTAGGGTTGTTATGGAGGTTTCGGTATATTGGCTTGATTGATTGGCCATTGGCCTGGCCGGGTCTTTGTATGTTGTATGAATTTCACCTCAACTGAAGAGAAATTACATTGGGACCCAATTTTGGTCTATAATTGGTAAAGATTCAAATCTGATTTCACATCAAACTTTGATTTGAATTGGTGAATTCTCATATCCATTGGAGAATGGAATTCTCATATCCATTGTGGTGGGAATGTAAATTAGTATAACTTCTGCAGACTACAATATGACAACATTTGCTAAAATTATGAATATTTATGGCCGGGTGCGGTGACTCACACCTATGATCCCACCACTTTGGGAGGCTGAGGTGAGAGGATTGCCTGAGCCCAGGGATTCGAGACCAGTCTGGGCAACATAGTGAGACCTCATCTCTACAAAAAAATCAAAATATCAGCCGGGTGTGGTCATGTGTGTCTGTAGTTCTAGCTACTCAGGAGACTGAGGCAGAAGGATCACCTGAACCCAGGAGGTCAAAGCTGTGGTGAGCTGTGATCGTGCCACCACACATCAGGCTGAGCAACAAAGAGAGACCCCAACTTAAAATAGAAGGAGGTTCTTTATGTACTTTTAATAGAATATCTTCAAGTGAAAAAAAAGAACAGAATGCAGGGAGAGTGTGCATAGTATGATCTTATTTGTGTAAAAAGGAGAAAATGTAAATTTTTGCTTCTGTGTGCCTGAAAATGTCTTACAAAGACATTTACATGTAAAGGAAATATAACATTGGTTGCAAGTGGAATGGAATTTGAGTGCCTAGAAGATAGTGGCAGGAAGGACATTTTTCACTGTATGCCTTTTTAGTTTTAAATATGTGGATATGTTTGTGAAGTAAATATTAATATACAAATTACATATTTAAAATTACATTATTAATTTTAATTAATTAAAATTTTTTTGAGTTCAAGTCTCACTCCACTACCCAGGCTGGAGTGCAGTGGCACACTCATGGTTACCCCAGCATACCTGCTGGGCTCTGGTTATCCTTCCGCCTCAGCCTTCCAAGTAGCCGGAACTACAGGTGTGCGCTACCACGCCGGCTAATTTTTTTTTCATTGTAGAGATGAGGTCTCGCCAAATTGCCCAGGTTATTGTCGAACCTGTGGGCTCAGGCAGTCCTCTCACCTTGACCTCCCAAAGTGCTGGGATTACAGGCTTAAGCCACCATACCGGCCTAATTAATTAAATTTAAAAGAACAGGCCAGTGCGGTGGCTTATGCCTGTAATTTCAGCATTTTGGGAGGTGGAGGTGAGAGGATTACCTGCACCCAGGGGTTTGAGATTGGTCTGGGCAAGTTGGTGAGAGCTGGTCTCCACAATAAATCTAAAGATCAGCTAGGTGTAGTGGTGTGTGTCTGTGCTTTCAGCTACTTGGAAGGCTGAGGCAGAAGGATCACCTGAGCTCAGGTAGAGGCTGAGGTAGCCATGAGCAGGCCATTGTACTCCAGCATGGGTGACAGAGTACAGAAAACAAACAAATAAACAAAAAATCACTCAATCCTTTAAGACTGATCAAAAGTCACATCAAAGAGGTTTTGCCCTTCTCTGATACTTATTATATACTGCTTTATGCTACCAGTGTTTGTGTCTTGGCTTAATAAAATATGCTCCTTGAGAGTTAGAATAATGCTTTTTATGTCTTTCCCATACCTACAGTGTCCACAGCCCAATGCTTTTTATGTAGTTGGAATTCCTAGATTGGTATAATTCCATTTATTAACCAATGTAGCACTGCTTTGTACTTGTGGAGTTTTTGTATTATTTCATTTGATCCTCAAAACAACCCTATGAGGTAGGCTTTTATTTGCATGTAACATTTTCTGTGTTTTCAACTGAGAATGTATAATTTTGGCTAAGCATTTTAACTTTAATTTGTTCTTTATCTTTTTAAGTTAGTGACAACATAATAGACATACTGAATATGAGATTAGAGGAGATAATCTATTAGATTTTTTAAAACTCTGTATGAATGAATAATTGGACAGATGAATGAATATATTTTGGTAGTACAAGAGGATGGAGGAGAATACTTGCTTTATGCATTTGGGGTTTCTCTTTTCAATGAATTCCTTCCTCTCCTGCCACCCAAACTCTTGACTGATCTGGTGATCTATATTACTCTATATTAAGATTAAACTCTTAATAACTGGATCAGTTACTAATACTGGTGACCTTTTAATTAACAACATCATTTTCTAGGTTTATTTTCAAGTGGTTCAGTGGATTTGTCAAACAAATCCATTTAGCTAGACGAATGATAAGCTTATGTATTACCTCATACGTTTCCTTTGTGCTTCCTCTATTTCTCTGGTTATTAAATATCACTTAACACATTGCTTTGGCATTTTATTTCCAGATGTTAAATCTGAAAATGCTGTCAAGGATTTCAGTTCTTTGTTCAGTGTCTTATTTATGTATTTATTTTTTGAGACAATGTCTCACTGTGTTACAGCTAAGGCTAGAGTGCAGTGGCTTGATCCTGACTCACAGCAGCCTCAACCTCCTGGGCTCAAGTGATCGTTCTGCCCCAACCTCCTGAGTAGCTGGGACTACAGGTGTGCTCAACTGTGTCTGGCTAATTTTTGCATTTTTTTGGGTAAAGATGAGGTCTCACTATATTGCACAGGCTCGAATGCCTAGGCTCAAGTGATTCTTCCACCTTGGCCTCCCAAAGAGCTAGGATTATAGGTATGACCCGTCGTGGCTGGCCTGTGCATTGTCTTTTAATGGCAGTGTGTATATGGTGGGGAAGAGTAAGGAAACAAAGGAGTTACAGCAATCTAAAAGAAAAGGCCCAAAACATGTTCTCATTTTTTTGTTGCCAGGAAATAACAAAGAACAAGGGCTAAGTACACTGAATGAATGTACTGTTTTTAACTATAAATTTAAAAATCTAGGGCCACCTGTAATCCCAGAATTTTGGGGGCTGAGGCAAGAGGATCATTTGAGCCTGGATGTATGAGACCAGCCTAGGCAATATAGTGAGATCTTGTCTCTACAGAAAAAAAAAAAATTAGCTGGGCATGACGGTGTGCACCAGTAGTCCCAGCTACTTGGGAGGCTGAGGTGGAAGGATCGCCTGAGAATAGAAGGTTGAGGCTGCAGTGACCGAGAGCATGTCACTGCACTTTAGCCTGGGTGACAGAGTAAGACCCCGACTTAAAAAAAAAAAACCCCAAAACTTAGGTGCTATTATCAGTTGGTTTTAGCTGTTTTTCAATGTAGGGAAAGAAGTGTGAATGTACATATACTTACATTCTTTGTATCTGCATATGATATTCTTCTGCTTGGTTGTGCCCGAGAGTTAACCTATTTTCCTCCCAACAGGGTTGAGAATGCTTGCACCAAGCTTGTCCAGGCAGCCCAGATGCTTCAATCAGACCCTTACTCAGTGCCTGCTCGAGATTATCTAATAGATGGGTCAAGAGGCATCCTCTCTGGCACATCAGACCTGCTCCTTACCTTCGACGAGGCTGAGGTAGGCGATCTGAGGCCCAGGTAGACCTCTCTTAGATAAAAAACAAAACCAAACCTAGTATTAAATACTTTAATGGGAGACTGACTTGTTCAGGATGAAAGAATATTAAATAACTACATATTAGTAATACCATATTTTCTACTTATTGTTCACTCAGTTGACTGACTACTATGAAATGTATTTTCAGGTTCGTAAAATTATTAGAGTTTGCAAAGGAATTCTGGAATATCTTACAGTGGCAGAGGTGGTGGAGACTATGGAAGATTTGGTCACTTACACAAAGAATCTTGGGCCAGGTTAGTCATATCCAATTTTTATGATAAAATTATTTTGTGGTTTGTCCATGTTGGATCAAGAGGAAAATGTACCTCCCTGTACTTTTTGTAGAAAATAGGTGAAGAAGCATTGAGCCTTCAGGTGTCCCTGCTGTAGTGGTGGAGCTGACACTGTGCTTTTACTGAGATGTCATTGTCCCTGAAATCTGAATCTGCTTTCTATAAAGCCCGGCCCTGTCAAACAAATTCAATCAGACATTGCAAATATTGCTAGTAAGTGTAGGAAATACTTTTCTATTACCGTAATGCTGAAGGCCACCCTGAGTCCTGACCTCTCCGTTCCGCATGACACAGCATTCCTTCAAGTCTGCCAGCTGGCCTGTAGCTCTTTATGACCTCCTAACTTGCTAATTAGCCTGCCTACTATTATGGATTCATGCCTTAGCCCGAGGCTGCATGATACAATCAGACCTAAAAGGAGAAAAGAGCTATTATGGTTAAATCTCCTTTTGAAATGACTGTTTAGGCATCTGTGTATGGAGTATTCAAAATATACAAACAGATACCAGCTTTTGAAGTTACAGACATATAACATGGAAAGGACGAATGAGACCAGTGACAAGACACATTAGGCATTTAAGTTTGAATTGATATTTGCCACCTTATAAAATTTTTTATGTGAAATGTTGATTTTTAATGAACAGTAATTTCATGATGTTCCAGTGTAGTTGTTCTGTAAACTTATGGCAATTAAGAATTTATCTGAGCCATCACTGCAGATCATCTGGCACTAGCTTTCTTTTTTGGTAGCTTTAAAGCAGTCCTCTTTAACATTTCTTATAGCATTGGCAAAAATTTTATCCCCTCACCCTTTTTTTTTGAGCCAGTCTCTCTGTCACCCAGGCTGGTGTGCAGTGGCACGCTCATGGCCAACCCAGTGTCGACCTGCTGGGCTCAGGTGATCCTTCTACCTCAGCCTTCCTTCGTGGTAGCACGTGCCTCAGCTGGAACTACAGGCGTATGATACCATGCCCAGCTAAATTTTTTGATATATTGTAGAGACGAGGTCTCGCCAAGTTGCCAGGCTGGTCTTGAACACCTGAGCTCAGGCAGTCCTCTCGCCTCGGCCTCCCAAAGTGCGGGGATTACAGGCTTGAGCCACCATGCCTGGTCCTTTTTTTTTTTTTAAGAGATGGCCTCACTCTGTCACTCAGGCTGGAGTGGAGTGGCACCATAATAGCTTAATGTAACCTCAAACTCCTGGGCTCAGGCTGTCTTCCACCTCAGTCTCCCAAGTAGCTGGGACAGTATCTGGGATGACAGGCATGTGCTACCATGCCCGGCTAATTTTTTATTTTTGTAGAGATGAGGGTCTTGCTATGTTGTTCAGGCTGGTCTTGAACTCCTAACTTCAAGCAATCCTCCTGCCTCAGCCTCCCAAAGCACTGGGATAACAGATGTGAGATTACAGGGATTACCACACTCAACCTATGTCCTCAAATGATATCTTGGGCAGAATCCCCACATATAAAAGATAAAACATCTGAGCTGGGCTCCAGTCTGACCTGAGGGTCACCACCCAGCTGCCTGATTACCCTCTGCCCCTGGCAGGGAGTCAGTGCTCCCCGTCTGACCACAGGCCCTTCTGCAGTCACCAGGGTCACTGCTGCCCCAAAAGACTCACTATATGTCCCTGGTCTTCTGACCCGGCCCTCCATGACAGGGGTGTTGGCCTCAGGATTCAGTCTGTAGGCATGAGCCCCATACAGGGTGTGCCCTGTGCAGGCCGTAAGCCTTATTGGAGGCTCAGGTGCTCACCCTAACTAGCCATCCCAAAATAAGTGGAGACTTCATATGTAAAAAATATATATCTGTGTGTGTGTGTGTATGTGTGTGTGTGTATAATAGATATACTAGAGCCACTCTGGGTGAAGCAGGGGTAGTTCCACCTTTCTGCTTCTCTTTGGTCTTGATGGCTTATGAGACAGCTTAAGAGATCCTAGGAGACAATTTACTCACCTTGATCTCCCAAAGAATAAATAAAATTAAAAAAATTAGCCAGGCATGGTAGTGTGCACCTGTAGATCCAACTACTTAGAAGGCTGAGGTGGAAGGATTGCTGGAGCCCAGCAGGTCGAGGCTGGGGTGGCCGGGAGCGTGCCACTGCACTCCAGTCTGGGCGACAGAGTGAAACTCCAACTTAAAAAAAAAAAGAAATCCTAGGAGTTGGCCACTGCCTTGCTAGACCTAGACTCTGTGGCCATGTGCTCTTTGAGCTATGTCACCATGCTTCCTGGCTTTGGCCCTCTCCCCCAACCTGGGAAGGTGAATCTTCTCTTTCTCTCTCTAATTTACTTTTAAAAATAAACTATATTTTCTAATCTAAAGAAAAACAGAAATCCTAGGAACAGTTTGAAAATCAAAGCTTCAGAGAAGCACTTTGCGCCGTTGAATAATAATGTAATAATAATCAATGTAAACAAAAAGTGCTAGCAGGCTGATTCCAAAATACCAGATGCTTTCAAACACTGTCATCACTATAATTATTTTTGTAATATTTCTGTTTGTTTCTAATTATAAAAGTAGTACATGCTTATTTTGGGCAAATTGGAGAGTACAGAAAAATATAACGATGAAATCAAAACACATCATTGTCATTCTTAGAACTTTTTCAGCCACTAGATTCAATCCTAGGCTCATATGAGATTTTTATGTTACATGGCACAATGGCCAGATATATGGCAAGAAACCTGTATGCATAGAAGCCTGGCAAAATATTTTCCCCCCACTTTTGAATTTATTTTTTTCAAATATATGTTTACTCATTTCAAATTTTTATATTTGTGGATGTATATGAAACTATGAAAATTATATCACCTTTTTTTTAGTTGATGTTTTACTTTGTTGCTGAGAACAGAGTACAGTAGCCCAATCAACTGCTCACCGCATCCTTGACCTCCTGGACTCAGGTGATCCTTTCACCTCAGCCTCTTGAGTAGCTGGGACTATAGGCACATACCACCACACCCAGCTAAATTTTTGATTTATTGTAGAGACAAGGTCTCGCCAAGTTGCCCAGGCTGGTCTGCCTCAGCCTCCCAAAGTGCTGGGATTGCACATGTGAGCCGCCATGTCCAACATATATCACATTTAATAAATTACTTTTATTGGAAAGAGTAACAATGCATAGATGCTAGAGTTCAGTGATAGTGTCTATTATTTAAACAAATGGGCAGTTTGAACTTTCACAGCATTTTATAGTGGTTTCAGGATGAGAAAGCCAGACTTTGGATTGTTTCACTATTCCCCCTGCACAATTTCTTCCTTGTGCTCCAGGAATGACTAAGATGGCCAAGATGATTGACGAGAGACAGCAGGAGTTGACTCACCAGGAGCACCGAGTGATGTTGGTGAACTCCATGAATACCGTGAAAGAGCTGCTGCCAGTTCTCATTTCAGGTAGTTCCTGCCTGTACTTTATTTTGTAGGGAAAAATATTAGCATGCTCTAAACTCTGAGTTTCATTTTCTTTTGCAGTTTCACTGCATGTCTTTCAGGCTAAGTAAAAATGAGACTTGATTATTACATGATGGCTGCAGCTGATTGGCTAAAAGCCTGTCTTGTCTTCTAATGCTGTCCTTCTGCTCTTTGGTTGAAGTTGCCTTACTCTGGCCTAGTTCTGTTCTCTTAAAGCTCTAACCAGACCCCTTTCCTAGAAGGTGGAATCTCCTTTAGAAACTAGTCTGGGTTAAATTTTCACATCTATATATGTGTAAAAATATAGAAAAATAATTAGGAGTTGGATATTATAGAACATGGTATGACAAAGAAGTGAACTCAGAACTTTTCGGTGTGTGTTAACAGTTTTCCTTATAAGATATTTAACTGTTCTTTACATTATGAGTAAGTAGATCATCAGTTCTTTGGCCACCAGCTGGGACCACCTTCCCACTGGGCAAACATGGTAGCTGCTCTCTCTACTAGCAAAAGGGAGTTGCACTTATTGAGTGTCAAGTATGCGCCAGACATCTCATGGTTGATGTAAGTTATCTTGGTCAAGTTTTAGGTTATTTAGTTCCACTCTCAGAAGGCAGCTTTATTTTAAAAACCTTACGACACATGTCACTGTGACTCTCAGCTACCTACTTTTGTGTTTCAAGTAGTAGCTTAAAAAGGTGATATGAGTGTAAGCGTCAGAAGCTCTTACATGAACTAGAACAAAAATTTGTAAATAAAATCTTATAATCTCCATGGGAAATGTTTTGAGGCCAACTGTTCTATGTGGCAGAAGGTTGTTAGGAGGAGGCTTTCTTCCTAATCTGAATAACTCAGTAATGTGTTAATTAATCTTTGTTTATAGAATTTTAATTATTTTATGGGAAGATATTCTCCTTCTCCATGTTCCTGATTATTATTATTTTTGAGCTGGAGTCTCACTCTGTTACCCAGCTGGAGTGCAGTGGCATACTCATGTCCACTGCAGCCTCAACCTGCTGGGCTCAGGCAATCCTTCCGCTTCAGCCTTCTAAGAAGCTGGAACTACAGGTGTGTGCCACCACACCCAGCTACTTTTTTGGTTTATTGCAGAGATGAGGTATCACCAAGTTGCCCAGACTGGTCTCAAAACCCTGGACTTAGGCAGTCCTCTTGCCTCGGTCTCCTAAAGTGCTGGGATTATAGACATGAGCAACTGTGCCTGACCTCATGTTCCATATTATTATTATTATTATTTTTTCTTCTTTACTTTTGGGAGCTAGCAAGTCCTTGCCTTATGTTGAAATAAATCCTGGATGATAAACTTGATATTTTGGGGCCTTCTACTATGTTTGGGGACAGACGGATACTCCATTCATAGTTTTAGTGATGGTTTTCATCTTGTTTCATTAGGTTTATAGTGGATGGAGCCAGTGGGTGGCCAGGATGATAACTAGTTTAGAAGGGTATGAGATATTTTGTGATCACAGTTCATCAGTATATTAATTAGTTCCCCAACTATGTTGTGGTGATGTTTTATACCTCAAGTTTTTTTTTCTTTCTTTCACAATAAAGGTTACTGATATTGGAACTTTATTGGCAGACTTGCAGTGTTTATTTGTATACTCTTTTTAAGACCTTAAAAGCCCAAAATATGTTCAGAGTGTAGAACATCTTATATTAATATTGTTATATAGCGAGATTAAACTACAAGCTTAGTTTCTGATCTTTTGTTTATTTTCACAGCTATGAAAATTTTTGTAACAACTAAAAACTCAAAAAACCAAGGAATAGAAGAAGCTTTAAAAAATCGCAATTTTACTGTAGAAAAAATGAGTGCTGAAATTAATGAGATCATTCGTGTATTACAACTCACTTCTTGGGATGAAGATGCTTGGGCCAGCAAGGTAAGTGTTATTGGAGGCGAAAGAAGCAAAATCCCGAACTCTCCCATACTGAGGGTTTTGATTGTCACTTGTCTCACATTTTATCTTGTAGTTGGGACATAATAGTACTCAGATTTTGTGAAAGTAATTTCTTCTTCACTTTTGTTTCGTGGGTTACTTGCTGCCTTTGCAAATTTCTTTGTTCCAAGGTAGAACAAACAAACGGGTATGTGAGATGAATATTGGTTTAAGACTGAGATATATAGCTTTGCCTTCAGGCTAGAGTCTCAATGGTCCGGTTGGTGGAGGAGCTGTGGTATGTATATTACCCTGGGTGGGAGCCCTGCCTTTTGTGTGGGCAGTTGTTACCAGGTGACTAAGTAAGATACAGAATAATGCCTGTAATGCTGAACTTTATGGAAAACTTTTCTGTAACGAAACTTTGATCCAGAGAAAACTACAGAGGAAACCCTTGGCATCTCTAGATGAGTCCCTTGATCATTCCATTTTCCCCAAGGAGAGTTTAATTAAAATATTAGTCTTCACATGTGTCAATTAGTTTGAGGGGTCCCTTTACCCTTTGTCTAGAATCTCTTCTTGGACTCCAAAGGGCTGGTGGGTTCCTTCCAGAGCTTGTCAGCTGTGGTTTTGGGTTGCTGCTGCCCTGGTCTGCTTCTCCCTGTGTGGTAACTGTGAGCAAAGCTTCCAGATCTGGGGGAACAGAGATACATGAGTTGATACTTTTCTTGTAGGAGCCCATGATGCAGGTGGGGGTAGGCTGGGGGGTGGGAGGGGGACCACACTGTCTTCAGGATTGAGCTTTCCCATGTGTAACCCAAATGTCACCAGGGCCACCCAGGAGGCTGGCAACAGACTAAAGAGGGGATTTGGTCATATGACTTCCATTGGGTGCTCAGTAGAGCTATGTTTGTCCTCCAGACTATCTAGAAGGTAAGGTAAAATCTGGGGCCTAAAATTGCCATCCCCCTCTCTCTCTCTCTCTCTCTCGTAATTTAACTATGTGGAATACATTAGTCAGCTTATCTTAACTATGGATTTATTTACAGAGGCATTTTCTTACTGATATGATGTTCTTGAACAGGTCTAAGGCTGTATTTTAAATCTATATGGTAAAATCATTTTAACCCTTTGATATTTTATTTGATTTTGCTTTTGCATACTTGATGACTTTCACTTCCCTGTTATGACTTCTTTATGCATCTTTTTTTGTTCTCTTGTTTGTTTTATTCTTTTTCTCACGTTTAGAAGGTAAGCTTCCTTGCCCTCTAGTTTATTTTTCACTTAAAAAGAGAAAAAGCATGTCTGTGAGGTTTTATTGTGCTGTGTGCCGTGCCTTATTCTGTGTGCCGGTGTGTGACACTGTGCTCGAATATGCGTCAGATTGTGACTTAATATGGGACCCTAGGCTGTGCTGGACAGGCTGACTATGGCTCATTTGGAGCTGTTTCTTTGGGGAAAGCTAAATGGGCTAGTAGGCTTGCAATATTTGGCAGGCGCTTTCATCTTTTTAAAGCAGCCTCCTGAGATCTTTTTTGGCCTGGTCTTTCCCACTTTATTTGAGGGACAGTTTTTCCCTCAAGGTAGCTGGGTGACCCTTGAGTGACCCAGGGACCCTGCTTTTGGGAAGGGAAACTCCTTGCTGGTGCTGTCTCTGTTTGCCTCTCCCACCAGTCTTATCTGTAGCCTTGAAATTTTGCTTTTGTAAATGCGTCATTGAGGTTTTAAACTATAACAAAAATGAGTAGACTATGTAGTTTAGGTGAGTCACCTCTCCTTCATAATAATCCTAGTCTTCTAAATTAGAAGGAAAAAATACACGACATGTAGGTTTTCCTAACTTCAGCTCATGGCACACTGCTGCATGTTCTGTTGTCTAAACTGTGAATTGGCCATAGTTTCTGTATGTTCTCATGCTCCCCTGACCTAATCTCTTTCCTTATTCTCTTTCTTTTCTTCTAGCAGATGAGAAAAAGTAATAAGGAGTAACAGACATTTAAACTTAATGTTTCTCTACTTTTGTGGGGGGACGCCATCCATCATTTAGTGAATGAGTGTACTGAGCTTTATTTTGTGTAAGTGCCATTAAGAGCTGTTTCTTTTGTTTAAAAAATGTAGTTAGTTGAGTATTTCAGGACTAGGACTAGGTACTTGGGAAGAAGACCTGGCACTCACCTTGCACAGTCTTGTAGCTGTCTCTGTTTTATGCTGATCTGGGAGGAACCCAATTTGTTAGGATGCTGCAAAACTAACTTTATCAGAAATGAATGAAAGTAAATTAGTTCAGCCAAAACAAGCTTCAGTAACTAATGATATCAGAATGAACAAGAGATGTTTATTTTTTAACCTAATGATAACAGAATGAACAAGAGTTTTTTTAAAAAAACTACTTTTGCTTTTGTTTACATTTGCTTGCTTCAAAAATAAAAACTCTATAAATAAGATATACATGATAAGTCTTCCTCCTAACCTCATTCCCATCTACTCTACCTCTCCTCATCCCCAAGAATGATCAGTTTTAATAGATACAAAATATTTAGAAGAAATTTTACTCTGAAAATGGAAATTAGTAACTAAGTGTTTAGCTACTTTTCAGTTTTGTAGCATTATGCGTCTTTCACTGCTCAACTGTAAGCAGTGAATTACTCAGACCTTTTGGCTGTGACCGCTGGGTTCCCATTCTGTTTAATGCATACAGTGTCTTTCACCTCCTCTCGCCCCTACCACTGAATAATTAACTTTGTCTTACCATACTTGTTTCATGCTTCCCCTTTGGTGCAGTATTCTTCTGGAAAGTGATGGTTCTTCTAGAAAAGTGAGGGAAGAAAGTAAGTGGAAAAAATTCTTGGTAAAAGTACGTCTTGCCAAATAAGCTAAGATTTAAAAGAGGCAATGCAATAGCTCATTATTTTACTTAAAAAAAAAAAACCCATGTTCAAATTGCAGATCTATAAATTTAAATTTAACACCGACTTTAAACACTTTATTTTGAAAGTAAAAATTATCCCTTTTGTAAATCACCAATCATTTTATAGTAATCATTAAAAATCATTAAAAAAAGCTAGCTTTTTTCCTGAGAATACATTATGAATCAAAATAATTTGAGTTAAGCATAATTCTAATTTTACCCTTTGTAAATTTAGTGCTCTACGCTTAATCTTTTTTTGTATTTCTATAACTTGTGTTTTGATGCATCCTAAGAATTAAGAGGAAGTGAGAGAAAATTTAAAAACATGTCACTGCTGAGACTTTTTGAACCCTGCATAGCGTTACTGCAGCTTTGCGCCGTGAGTGATTAGATACTATTATTCAGAATTAGTGTCTGTGGTGGGTCTCCTCCCACTGTGATCCTAGGCTGGTGGTGGGTAAAAGTAGTGACTGACTCAGATGTCTTATACAGATTACTATACTTAACCAAAGAAGGAAATGTTAGTTAGAGCATATGATCGGATAATAGTAGCCCTTATGCAGACCGCTGGGATTTTAGGGTTGATTTAAAAAAAAAAAAAAGGTTGTATGCGAGCTTTTCATACATGAGCTAGTGTTTTGTTTTAGAAACTAATAGAATGAAAGATCTCTAGGAGTTTGAGATAAATAGCTAATTCAGGAATTTATATCTTATCCGCCCCTCCAAGGAGGAAAACCCCCAAGTGTTAAACAAATTGCTATATCCCTTCTAATAAGTTATCTTTGTGGCACAGCTGATTGTACACTCATAGGTAGATAGATTTTTTTAGAGCAAGGAAGGTATTAGAGACGAGGAACTGATCCAGAAAAGGTAACTTCCCTGAAGTCTCAGGACTAGACAACTTCCTCTTATTTAAATGCAAGATTTTGTTCTACTGCCCAATCTATTCTTTTCAGAAACAACTTCGTTTAGAACATAATTTTGGGGTAGGAATGTGGTCAGAAAGGAAAGAAGTAGGAAGGGAAGTATTAGTGAGAGAGTGTATGTTGGGCAATGATGGAGAAGGGCCCTCATTCCTCATATTTAAACATTTCAAGAGCCTGGGATTGCAGGGCTTTCTTTTTTTTGGAGTCAGAGTCTCACTTTGTCACTCAGGCTGGAGTGCAGAGTCTCACTCTGTTGCTTAGGCTGGAGAGCAGTGGCATGCTGCTCACAGGCACCAACCTCAACCTGCTGGGCTCAGACCATCCTTTCACCTCAGCCTTCCAAGTAGCTGGAACTACAGGCACATGCCACCACACCCAGCTAGTTTTTTGATTTATTGTAGAGATGAGGTCTTGCCATGTTGCCCAGGCTGGTCTTGAACCTGTGGACACAGACAATCCTCTTGCCTCTGCCTTCCAAAGTGCTGGGATTACAGGCGTGAGCCACTGTACCTGGCCAGAACTTTACTTTTTAAACTGAAGTTCCTCTTGATTGTCCATAGGAGGATCTTATGATTATTCACAGGTGTTCTTGTGGCCTAACTCTATATTAAATTTTAGGTATTCCTCAATTCCTAGGTAAAAAGGGATTCTTTTAGGTTGTCTTTTCACTTTTTTGGTATGTGGGGAAGAGCGCCAAAACACTGTTTTTTTGTTTTTGTTTTTTTCATTTAAAAAATGAACTGTAAGAATTCTGTGGTTGGTTGGGCACAGTGGCTCATAGGCTGAGGTAAGAAGATCGCTTGAACCCGAGAGTTTGAAATCAGCCTTAAGCAACACACAGAGACTTACAAAAAAAAAAGATTAAAAAAAATTAGCTGGGCATGATGGTATAGTTTTCGGGAGGCTGAGCAGAAGGATCACCTGAGCCCAGGAGGCCAAGGCTGTGGTGAGCTCTGATTGTGCCCACTGCACTTCAGCCTGGGCGACAGAGTGAGACCAACTTGGGAAAAAACCAAGGGTTTTATGGTAAAAAGAACCATTGTGGGAGGGAACCAAGTATATCCCTGCCAACTGTCCCCAGGGCTACACAACCAGAGCTGGTCTCTTCATACTTTTTTTTAAAAAAAGAAAAAACAGATAAGAGATTGGTGGAGACGTTTCTTTCCCAAATTTAAGTTTATGTAGAGAAGAGTACTCAAATAACGGTGTAGTTTTTTTCTCTTCCATTTTATATCCAGATTGTAGTGTGTATATTTATAGACTCACATAACAAGGTTTAGCAAATGCTTTGTGGTACATGGTATGGCTGACCACAAGATTATGATTATTTTCACCCTTTATAAATATATTTTCAAACTGACTCCTAGTTGGCCAGTGATTTTGTTTGTATACTCCTTATGTTGCTTATGATAGAATTCTGTCATTCCTATAATAAATATTGCTCTTTAAAAGAAATATATATGAAATTCCGGCGGGGTACAGTGGCTCACGCCCCTGTAATCCCAGCACTCTGAGAACCCAAGGCAAAAAAATTGCTTGAGTCCAGGGGTTCGAGATTAGCCTGGGAAACATGGTTGCGACCTCGTCTCTACAATAATTGAAAAAATTAGCTAGGTGTGGTGGTGCACTCTTGCAGTCTCAGCTAGCTACTCAAGAGGCTGAGGCAGAAGCCATCACCTGAGGCCAGGAGGTTGAGGCTGTGGTGAGCTGTGATCAAGCCACTGCATTCCAGCCTGGGCAACAATGAGGCTCCAACTCAAAAAGAAAGAAAGAGAAATGCATGTAAAAACCTTAGGAGACCAAAATATTTATTCCTGTAGATGCTTTTGTTTTTAATAGACATGACTTTGAAATATATTGTGGCAGCTGGGGTTGGTGGCTCAGCCTGTAATCCTGTGCCTTTGGGAGGCTGAGATGAGTGGATTGCCTGAGCCCGCGGGTTCTAGACCCGCCTGGGCAACTTGGCGAGACCTCATCTCTACAATAAATCAAAATGAACCGGGTGTGGTAGCGCACGCCTGTAGTTCCAGCTACTTGGAAGGCTGAGGCAGAAGGATCACCAGTGCCCAATAGGTTGAGGCTGCGGTGGCCAGGAGTGGCCACTGCACTCCAGTCTGGGCGACAGAGTGAGACTCCAACTCCAAAAAAAAAAAAAAAAAAAGAGAAAGAAATATAGTGTGGCTAAATGATTACTTATAATCTGTTGTCCCAAAGAATTTAAGGAGGCCTTTAGAGTGACTGTTTTAAGTCTCTAAATTGTCTACATTTATGCTGTTAAAAAATTGGTAAATAATTGAGATTCCCAGTATAAAAATGCAGCTTAATTCCAAATTTGCCATTGATTCCTTTTAGGTGAAAATGAGCATCTCTTAATTTTAACTTCTTGATGTTGTCACATCTTCTACTGAGGAAGTGAGTAATCTACTCACTTACTGAGAATCATATTCTTTTCTTGCACTGCATTGGCCGCTTGAGATTTATCAGGGAGAAAAAAAGAAATGGTTTGTGAGGATGCTGAATAGAACAAAGCAATTTTTTTCCATTGTGTTTTCAATCATTTTTAGGCACTGGAGAATAAAAGCAGTCATTTATGTTAGTGAGGATTCTGAACATAATTTCTAGAGCTTATTTTTTATGCAGTATTATGTAAAGTCAAAATTGACAAAGAGATTCACTGACTATTGTGAAATCTTTGGCAACTCTCTTTAGTAAAAAAAATAAAATAAAATAAATTCTTGCGTTTTATTTGACATAAAATAATGAGGGTTAGAGTCAACAAACCTGAGATCAAATTGGGTTTCCAGGGGTGAGTTATTGTTTCTTAATATTAAATTGCATGTAAATTTGAGATTCAATGAGGTAACAAAGGGAAAAGTAGCTAAAACGGAACCTAACATGCATGTTAAATAAATGTATGCCAATTACATTCAGTTTCCTAACTAGTAGCCTTTAATGCTAGGCTAGACACAAACATTTCTGACTTTTATTTCCCTTTGAATTTAGATGTTTGAAATGTAATAAATATCTATTGGTTTTATCACTGAAAATCAACGTGTGTTAAGAAAATGGTAACTAGCAGGTTTTAAGTGAAATTTTATTTTATTTTTGGAGTTGGAGTCTCACTTTGTCTCCCAGACACTGGAGTGCAGTTGCATGCTCATGGCCACCGCAACCTCGACCTGCTGGGTCAGGTGATCCTTCTGCTTCAGCCTTCCAAGTAGCTGAAACTACAGGCATATACTACCACATCCAGCTAATTTTTTGATTTATTGTAGAGAGGCTGGTCTCGAACCTGTGGGCTCAGGCAGTCCTTTCACCTCGCCCTCCCAAAGTGCTGGGATTATAGGTGTGAGTAACCGCGCCCGGCAAAATTTTATTTTTAAGCTGGGTCTTGCTCCCAGACTGGTGTGCAGTGGCTTGATCACGGCTCACTGCAGCTTTGAACTCCTGGACTTACGTAATTCTTTAGCCTTAGCCTCCCCGTAGCTGGGACTATAGACGTGTGCCATCATGCCTGGCTAATGATTTCTTGATTTTTTAGAGATGAGATCTTACTATTTTCCTAGGCTCATCTTAACCTAGGCTCAAGCAATCCTCCTGCCTTGGCCCCTCAAAGTGCTGAGATTACAGGCATGAGCAACCATACCTGGCCAAGATATTTTCATATTGACATAATTCCCCTGCTATAAATGTGCATATACTTCCTAAATAAAAGCCTGTGATTTAAAAAAAAAAAAGCCTGTACCTTGACAACTTGTGTTATACCCTATAACTGTGTTGAACCCTGAAGGTTATCCAGCTCTCTGAGGTCAGGAGTTACCTGAGACTCTCTTTTAAAAATGTATTGATTTGGGCCTTGCGGATTTGGAATTTAGCTAAAGTTGACCTTTGCATTATTTCTGAGGGAAAAGTTTGCTGTACAAATTAATGCCAAAAATAATGTGAAACATGCTGGAAAAGATTAGCAGATATTTAAACTATTTGAGACTCACAACACTTTAAAGATACCACTTATCTGCTTGTACTAATTACAAGTGGATTTTGAAATAGATCCTCTTATGATCCTGCCTTTTATTGATAGCTATCATAATTACATATAACCTGATAATAAAAATATTGTATTTCCATTTTTCAGTAATTTAGGTCACTTCTTTTTTTATTGCTGTGGCTGAGAATTTGCTATTTAGAGCTTTAGGTAGCCAAGGTGACAATAGGAGAGTAATCTGTATCTGTTTAGTTAGGGACGAAGGGAATCCTACAGCTCACAGTTGGCTGCTGACCCTGCTAACTAGGTGCTGCTAGTGCTTACTTGTGCTAGTGCTGGGTCTTGTTTGAATTGGAAGTGGAGATGCTCCTGGTGCCCCCGTGTGGAAAACTGGTGGTGCAACACCTTTAAGAAGTTCTGCAGCATTGGAAACTGAGGAAGTTAGGGATCTAGGACATTGCCTAGAATTTTAGAGGCTAACAAAGATTTCTTTTTCTTTTTTTGAGTTGGAGTCTCACTCTGTTGCTGGAGTGCAGTGACATGATCATGGCTACCACAGCCTTGACCTGCTAGGCTCAGGCAATCCTTCCGCTTCAGCCTCCCAGTAATTGGGACTACAGGCATGTGCCATCATGCCCAGTTAATTTTGTAATTTATTGTGGAGACAAGATCTTGGCCAGGTTGCTCAGGCTGGTCTCAAACTTCTGGGCTCAGGCAATCCTCTGGCTGCAGCTTCCCAAAATGCTGGGATTACAGGTGTGAGCCACCATGCCTGGCTAACTTTGTGCTTTGATGGATTAACTCTGTTAAGCGTCAGTTCCCTACAGTAAAAGAAGATAGGCAGTCTTTTAAACCGCTTAATAGAGACTCAAGAGGATGGGTATATGGGTATTTGTTACATTGTTCTCTGCATTAAAAAATTTTATTAAAATACATGCATTATTTTAAAGTGATTAGACTGTTGTTTCAGCTTCTCATGCTGTGTCCTGTGAGATTTTATGCTCATTTTATGCTAGTCCTCATGAATCTTGGTTGTAAACAATGAATTGAGACCCATTTATTTTTCTGACCTCTCTTATTCCAGGTAATAGATAGTAAGGGAACTAAGAATGAGGAGTAGCAGGGAAGAAAAGAAAAACACCTTATTATATTATATTTAGTAGTTTATTTGTGGAATTAAAATTGAGTACTGGATTAACAGTTTCAATTTTTTTCCAAGTAGTAATTATAAGTTTTTCAGATTAATTCAACATAGTGAAACATCATCCAGTGTGTGTATTTCAAAACACGATGTAAAAGAACATGATTTGTGACGCCACATACTAATGAGGCTTCCCTGAAGTGGGGGAGTTTTGGCGAGGCTGCAGGAGAGGAATGTTGACTAGTGGAAAGGCTGATAATGAGGCATGTGACAACAGTGCTTTTTTCTGCTGAAAACGTTAAAACATCTTTTGGCTTGAGTAGTTTTACTAGTTTTCATAGTTTTAGCAATAGGGACACCAGGAAACAGTAGAATTAACGGAAGATTTGCATGCAAGGTGCTGCATTTTGACAGAAATAAGAATTGTGGTGTGATGACAATACTTTTAAGGCCGTTATAGGACTGACTACTTGAGCTATTGTATGTTAATGCTGTATCTCCTCTGTCTTTGTATCATGGTATCTCAATTTTTGCAAAGAAAGTAATTGTGGGATTTCTCTTCAAAAGGATACTGAAGCCATGAAGAGAGCATTGGCCTCCATAGACTCAAAACTGAACCAGGCCAAAGGTTGGCTTCGTGACCCCAGTGCCTCCCCAGGTAACCTTGTAGTTCTGTTTTTCTGATAGATATAACAGTAAGCTAAAAGCCAAACAAATGAAAGAAAGAAAATCTCCCATAATCTCATAATCCTGAGGTAACTACTGTAACATTTTGGGGCATCTCTGACAGTTTTGACTGATTAAAGCAAAAACGGACTTAGAAGGATGAATGGCATAGATTACATTACCTCTCATCATTGAGGAAAATTAAAACTGAGCTGGGCGTTCTCTGCAAATTATTGCTCCCCCTTCCCTGAATCAGAAAGGTAATTATTTTGAATAAAAGCTCTCTTCTCTCCCCTCTCCCCTCCCCTTTCTCCTCTCCCTCCTCTTCTCTTCTTGAGCAGACATCCGTTTAAGTCAACAAAGTACTTAATTAAGCAAATTAAGTGGTGATGTCAATAGGAATTTAAAGTGAAGTTGACCATATAAAGATAAGACCCAAATAGGTTATTGAACTAGGCTTTATGGATTTTCTAATCTAATATTTATCCTGTTTTAGATGAATATTTAAATGAATGTGAAAAGCCTAATGGCGGTTAGAAGTGTTAAGTACTATTAAATTGTATTCTTACCACAAGCTGCTTAGAATCTCCAAACAGACATAGTTCAAAGTATGTCTTTTTTAGCAGTATTTGTGGTTGGAACGTCACCTGTTGTTGTAAGGGCACAGCTTGGCTGGTAGCTGTCAGATATATTGCCTTCTATTCACTTGTGTTGTTTAAAATCATCCATTCCTGCATGAATGAAATGATTTGTAAAGTATCCTCTCTAAATAATTAATGTGTCATATTGAATATCTCTTTATTTTAGGAGATGCTGGTGAGCAGGCCATTAGACAGATCTTAGATGAAGCTGGAAAAGTTGGTGAACTCTGTGCAGGCAAAGAGCGCAGGGAGATTCTGGGAACCTGCAAAATGCTTGGGCAGATGACTGATCAAGTGGCTGACCTCCGTGCCAGGTAAATTTCCTCTGCCCTTCCAGAGCAGTAGCGGGTAACTCATTCCTCACAGGGCGATTCAGAAAGCAAGTCTCTGCCAGTTTTACTGAGTTATCCTTGGCTGACAGATAACAGATATTTTATTCTGTTAATTCTTTTGAGATTGAGGTGAACTTTCCCTTTGCTGAATTTAAAATACATAAATGCCTAATAATAAAGTTGACATTTATTCTGTAATTGAAATTGAGAATCAAATCTGAAGTTTTAGTTTCTAGCTTATGAAAAACAAGGGGGCAGTGGTTAAGTCTGTCATGGGTAGATACATTTTATGAAGGCTAGGTAGAAAGGAACATTGGAATTATTTCATATGTCATATTTTAAAAATCAGTTAAAGAGGTTATAGGTTATCTTCCTTTCTTTCGCCCAGTGCAGTGGCATAATCATGGTTCACCACAGCCTTAACCTCCTGGGCTCAAGCGATCTTTCCACCTCAGCCTCCCCAATAGCTGGGACTATGGGTGCATGCTACCATGCCTGGCTAATTTTTAAATTTTTTGTAGATATGAGGTCTCACTCTGTGGTCTAGGCTGATATTTAGCTCCTGGGCTCAAGCAGTCCTCCTGCCTCAGCCTCCCAAAGGGCTGGGATTACAGGTGTGAGCCAACATGGCTGGCTGAGGTTATCTTCTAAATTGATAATTTCTGGGCTCTTTTGAGTTTCTGTTTCATCATTATTTATTTCGTTTCACAATTAATTTACCTTCCTTTTACCCTCCTCAAGTCTTGGTTTTTAGAACTTTTTTCTCCCATAAACTAAATACACATAGTTTGCTGTTGAGGAAACTCAGTTTAATATAAATTTGTTTGGAATTAATCCATAGAGTTAATGAAGTTATAAAAGACTTTTTTTTTGAGTCAGAGTTTCACTCTGTCGCCCAGGCTGGAGTACAATGGCATACTCATGGCCACCCCAGCATCGACCCACTGGATTCAGGCCATCCTTCCGCCTCAGCCTTCCAAGTAGCTAGAACTACAGGCACACGTACCATGCCTGGCTAATTTTTTGATTTATTGTAGAGATAAGGTCTCACCAAGTTTCCCAGGCTGGTCTTGAACCCCTGGGCTCAGGCAATCCTCTCGTCTCGGCCTCCCAAAGTGCTGGGATTTCAGGCTTCAGCCACCATGCCTGGCCAAGAGCCTCATTTTTATGGAATTTTATGGTGTGAACATTCTGCAAAAATTGAAGTATGATGAGACACTAGTGTAGATGAAGTTTAATTTTGCTTTGAAAATGTCACATAAAACATCTTGATATCATTGAGATAAACGGGGTCTCCTTGCAAACAGGTCTCAGAAACTCTACTACAAGTTGTGTACCATTATAACCTGCTCTCAAAGTAACCCAGTAGATTTAAGAATACAGATCTGGGGTGGGATTGGCAGTTGAGGGAAACTGGCATACCTCATCAACAAGGGTACCTGCATAATCAACATTTGTATATCTAACCCTGAATTGTACCCCACATCTTTATAATAATAGTAATAGTAATAATAATAATAATAATAAAAAGAATACAGATCCTGCAGGAGAGCTGCTTAATTTTTTTTGGACGAAGATCACTTGTATAATCTGATGAAAACATTCATCTCTACCTAAAAAGATGCATATAAACATGTCCAAAAACATGTCAGTTTTTTTAGAGGTTTATGGAGTCACTGCAGCCCTGGAAGCTCCAGGGATTTCAGGTTGAAGAGAAGAAACAGCTTAAATATATGTGATTTCATTGAGCTCAAGAATCTTTTCTCCTGCTGAGAAGCAGTCTTCCCTGTCATGAGCATGACAAGAACTTTGCAGAAAGGACAAAAAGAAGTTTGTTCTCATCCGGAAAAATGCCAATGCAGTTTGACAAGATTCTTGGCTCTTCTAATTTCTCACTTTTATGTCTTTTGTCTGCAGCCTTTTCACAGTGTGGTAGACAGTTTTCACTTGGAATTCTCAAATACAGAGTTGTGTGTGATTAGAGAAAGATGAATATGAGCAAGAGAATGAGGTAGTTATTGTATGAGATCAACCATTAATCTGTAAAAAGAAAAGGCTAGAACAGTGATGAATAGCTATGGGCCTGCTTTACAGTGGAGCCGGAAATACTGGTTCCCCTGAAAGATTAGAAAGCTCTCCTCTCCCTGTAGTTCTTTCTTAAATGTACCCAGCTATTTAATATTTTAGTGGCTGAAATGCAGTAACAATTTCCTTATTGATATTCTTCTATTCAGTAATGTAGGGTTTCTAGGTTATAAGTATATACTTTTATCCCCATGAGACTCAAACTTTTTATTTTGAAAACACTCTGTAGGCCAGGTGTGGTGGCTTAGCCTGTAATCCTAGCACTTTGAGAGGCCGAGGCGAGTGGATTGCCCGTGCCCATGGGTTCGAGACCAGCCCAGGCAACTTGGTGAGACCTCATCTCTAAATAATAATAAAAAAAATTAGCCAGACGTGGTAGTGCATGCCTGTAGTTCTGGCTACTTGGAAGACTGAGGTGGAAGGATCGCCTGAGCCTAGGAGGTCGAGGCTGTGGTGGCCGTGAGCGTGCCACTGCACTCCAGCCTGGGTGATAGAATGAGACTTCAACTCAAAAAAAAAAAAAGAAAAGAAAAGAAAAGAAAACACTGTGTAGCCCATAAATATTTTTTACTTTTCCACAGTTGAACTCTTATACCAAAAAAAATTCCTAACCATGAGATTTGAAGGAAAATCCTTCACTAGATTTGAGGGAAAGAGAGCAAGTTAAACCATGAAGGGTATGTTTCCTAAAAGTCTTCCAAACTTCTATCATATAAAAGGAAGGCCTCAAGTTCAAGTAAAAGGTGTAAATGTACCTTTTACATACCTGGCATTAAATTTATGAAGTTCATGACCTCAAGCATTGGTATAGGTGAAAAACAGAGATGAATTTTAAAAAGAGGTTAGATAAATGAATGACAGATGAATACTTTTATTAAGGGCATCAAAGATATTTTGAAGTTCATCCTAAAATGAGATGTTCAGATTAGGATCATTAGCCATGCCATAAATGATAAAATTACCAACCCTATCATTGAGTTTACCAGGTTGGGTAGATTAAAAAATTAGAGCTTGTAAAATGATGGCAAGTCTTACTCTATGACTTGGAAAGTCCTTAGGGAAAACAAATTTCCACTAACATCATTTTGGGTAGTAATAGTATACCATTTCTGAGAGAGGAAGATAGTGAAATCAATTCTTTAGAAACTTGATGGGAAACAGTGGTTTCTTATCACCATATGCTTTCTTCCCCTCAGTACTAACTAGTTTTGACATTTCCATCCTAGGAGTGGAAGGTAGACATTTAAGATTATCATTAGGTTCATTATAATAATGGTGATAGTTCAGTAATAATAATAAGTCATATATTTGTGTTGCTTTTTTTTTTTTTTTTTTTGCCAGTGTTTTCAAGTATATTATCTCAGTGTTTGAAGCCACACTGTCTCGAACCCGCGGGCCCAGTCAGTCCACTAGCCTCGGCCTCCCAAAGTGCTGGGATTACAGGCTGAGTCACAGAGCACGGCTGTGGTATGCTTTCAATAACACTATTGGTGTTGCCTCCTGAAACATTTTCAATGTGTATGTGCCCATAAATAAGAAAATTTAATGGACTACTTATTTCTAAAGCACACATTACTATGGTTACAGAGCCCTCCATAGCAATCAGATTGCAAGCACATTTTCCCACTGAAGTTTAGATTTGATTATGTAATCTTCACCAAGAGGAGAATAATTATTATTAAAATTTGCCATCTTGGTCTTCAAAGTGGGTATGTAGTTCTATGAAGCTAATGTGTATTTTTAAAAGAAAAAGTAAATGATTCAGCTGTCTTGCTTTGTTTATATCTTTTTTTTTGTGCTATTCAAGATTTACTGGAGAAAAGGAAAAAAGCATGTTAACAAAAGTGATATGTACCATGGTATTAGGAATATTTTGTATTTGAGAGAGTACAATGACAGCATCTGTCTGTTTTGAGTAGAGGACAAGGATCCTCACCGGTGGCCATGCAGAAAGCCCAGCAGGTATCTCAGGGTCTGGATGTGCTCACAGCAAAAGTGGAAAATGCAGCTCGCAAGCTGGAAGCCATGACAAACTCAAAGCAGAGCATTGCAAAGAAGATCGATGCTGCTCAGGTAGTGATGATGGTTTTCAGGAGGAGTGGGAAATAAAAGAGAAAGAGAAATGCTGTATAAATATCCAAATGTCTCTCTCTCTCTCTCTCTCTCTGTCTTTCTCTCTTTCATTTCCTGTGATTGGATAATGGTTGTTTCTAAGTGATGACTGATTCCCAGCAGTTACCAATGTTAACACCTCCTTTACCACTACAGATTTAGACTAATGTTTATCTATATTTTGACATAGATCTTAATTTTCAATACTTCAAGAAGTTAAAAGTAAGCACTCTTAATACAAGAGAATCCTAGATTGCAGTACACTAAAACTATTTCTTATCCCAGAATTCACAGCTGTTTGGTCATATCAATGTTAAGGGGTTAAAGTTTTCTGATACTATTCTACTGTAAAATGATTTTCAAGCATTTCACGAACACAAATGTTTGAGAAATAGAAGAAATAATAAGGTGTGGTTAATTCAAAGATGAGATAAAGCTTGGGGAGATATTTTATTCTAATGAGGATGAAAAAATTGATTTTATAAAGATGAGGAATTGATTCAGTCTTATCTGAGTTAAGAACCTCTGTATAGCAATTAGGATCAGCATTATAGAAATGATTCTGGTGTCTTGTGATTACTTTAGAAATATTTTTTATGACCTTGTTAAGTTTAATAAAATGTGGTTAATGACTAGATCACAGTATGTGTCTCCATTTCTTTGTGTAGAACTGGCTTGCAGATCCAAATGGTGGACCGGAAGGAGAAGAACAGATTCGAGGGGCTTTGGCTGAAGCTCGGAAAATAGCAGAATTATGTGATGATCCTAAAGAAAGAGATGACATTCTGCGTTCCCTTGGAGAAATATCTGCTCTGACTTCTAAATTAGCAGATCTACGAAGACAGTATGTAATGGCTTAAATTGTCTTTTAATATCTTTTTTCTCTCCCCTTCCTCTGCTTTGATTTATTTATTTAAGAACATACATATTTCAGTCCTTAGAAGTTAAATACATTTTTGATGCTCTTACACTATATTCTCATTGATTCTGTGTGACATGGCTGGATCAGATATTATTTCTGTTATATCAATGACATGACTGAGATTTAACAATATATTGCCAGTTGCACAGTTTTAAATTAATAAATTTAAGGTGCTAAGAACTCCTTTTCCCAGATATGTTTTTAAAATTTCTAAACAAAAGCTGGGCTTGGTGGCTCAGCCTGTAATCCCGCACTTTGGGAGGCTGAGGTGAGTGGATTGCCTGAGTTCGCGGGTTCGAGACTTGCCTGGGCAACTTGGTGAGACCTCATCTCTACAATAAATCAAAAAATTAGCTGGGTGTGGTAGCATGCGCCTGTAGTTCCAGCTACTTGGAAGGCTGAGGCGGAAGGATTGCCGGAGCCCAGCAGGTCGAGGCTGTGGTGGCCGGGAGCGGCCACCGTACTCCAGTCTGAGTGACAGAGTGAGACTCCAACTCAAAAAAAAAAAAAAATTTCTAAGCAAGGATTTTCCCTGCTACATCATGTTTGTGACATATCTGTTCCCCAGACAGAAGAGAAAAATGATTTTTGTGACTAGCTATGAAATGACTCCTGTGTGTATATAGCAAGGGGGAGGCATAAGAAAGTACTTTCTTCCTTTTCCAGAAATGTTATTTTGTAAGTAGCAGTTATAAAAGAGCTTTAAATTATATTTCCTGAGTGTTCTTACAACAACATCTTTGCTCTTAAAGGCCTCCTCTCTCTTAAAGACTTTCATGGCACCTATTTTGATTATAGAGAAGAGACATGTTGCTTTCTTCTTTTGATTGATATTCCTCTCTTAAAAACAAAAACAAAACCCGCAACACATGCTAAAAGAACCCTAAGGAAGGGTATAATGTCAAAAGTAAAAGTTGCTCTTCATACTTGGGAGGCAGAGGTGGAAGGTGGAACCAGGAGTTCAAGACCAACCTGGACAACACAGCAAAACTCTGTCTCAAAAATTAAAAAAAAAAGGTTACTGTCTTTTCTGTCTCAGTTCTCTAACCTCATTCTCCAGGAATAACCATGGTCAAATGTCTTGAGATAGTCTGCTTTTCATTTAACTTGCAAATTTCATTTCCTGGAAGAATGCCTAATTATTTTTTCCTCCAGTGAGAGGTACTCTAGGGTGCTTTGAAGTCTTCTATCGACTAAGAGGACAATGCTGACTAAGAAAGCAATCTTCTACCTAGGATCATTGAATGAATTTGGTGGGAGAAGACATACTTTGCAGGAGGTTGTGATAGAGACCGACTTGGGTAGCAGCTCAAATCTGGTTATGTATCAAGCTCAGCCATTTGGAGATCACCATTTTATGCCCCAATTCTTGAATTATTTATTGGAGAAAATATATAATTTATCAATTGTAAAATATAATGTCTATACAGTTAAGGTTATGTTCATTAATATTAACCAACTAGGATAGTATTTACATTCTTATTAGATTTTAAAATCCTCAAAGGGATATACTCTATATTCTCAAGATCTAACACAAGTCCATATACATAATAGGTACTCATTCATGTTTCTGACTGATGAAGAGATAATTAATGGTAATGGTGATAATAGCAGACCTTCATGTGTGGTCATTTATGCCAGCATTACTTATTACTATAGCATGCATATATGTAACCCAGTGGCAGCAGGAGAAGCATAATGAAGAATGTTATAAAAATTTAGAATCATAAAGGAACTCTTTTTTTTTTTGAGTTGGAGTCTCACTCTGTCACCCAGACTGGAGTGCAGTGGCACGCTTGTGGCCACCGCAGCCTCGACCTGCTGGGCTCCGGCGATCTTTCCGTCTCAGCCTTCCAAGTAGCTGGAACTACAGGCGTGCGCTACCATGCCCGGCTGATTTTTTGATTTATTGTAGAGATGAGGTCTTACTGCCCAGGCAGGTCACGAACCCACGAGCTCAGGCAATCCACTCACCTCACCCTCCCAAAGGCGCGGGATTACAGGCTGAGCCACCGAGCCCAGCTCATAAAGGAACTCTTAAGAGAGTATCTAAATTAGTCATTCTAGCAGGTGGACTAGCATTTCTATTTTTACAGATGAAACCATAAGATTAGCCTGAAGGTTATTTTTCTGTGGCTGAGTGGACTTGAGATATAAAATGAGTGAGATTCTTTGTATTTTTACAATGTTTCAAATTTGAAGGCATTGGGATGAGGCTTTTTTGGGGGGGGTTATTACCCTTTGTGATATAATTATGGTTGTCTTCTAATCTCTGTGTTGATATTCTTATTAGGGTTCTTTGGTTGCAAGGAAATAGCTCAAGTAAAAAGTGGAGGTTTGTTGAAAATACATAGAGGCATCTAATGGAACCCAACAGCTTGAACTGTGACCAGATCTTGTGACAACTGAAAACCCCTCTCTCTACCTCTTAGAAGCTGTGTGGTGTCCTTTCTGTCCGTTTCACCCTGTGTGTTGACTTTATTTACTTGGGGATTCTTCCCTGGCTTTGACCTACCATGGCCTGGACTTTATAACTTTCCAGCCCCCAATCCTATCACTGCATAATTGTCTATGACTATGCAGTATTTCTGAAGTATGGACCTCAGAATCACCTGAGAAGGTTTTTAAAAATGTGGACTCCTAGCCAGGCTCGGTGGCTCAGCCTGTAATCCCGCGCCTTTGGGAGGCTGAGGTGAGTGGATTGCCTGAGCCCATGGGTTCGAGACCCACCTGGGCAGGCGAGACCTCATCTCTACAATAAATCAAAAATCAGCTGGGTGTGGTAGCGCGCGCTTATAATTCCGGCTACTAGGAAGGCTGAGGCGGAAGGATCGCCGGAGCCCAGCAGGTCGAGGCTGTGGTGGCCGGGAGCGGCCACTGCACTCCAATCTGGGTGACAGAGTGAGACTCCAACTCAAAAAAAAAAAAAAAAAAAAAGTGAACTCCTGGACCCCACTCCAGACATACCTAATCAGAATCTCTTGATGGTGGGTTTAGCAATCTGAGTTTAAAAATAAGATCCCAGATGACTTTTATTCACATTGGACTTTATCACCAGAATCTAATTTAATGACTTGCCCGACTGTGGGTATATTGTTTTAGAGCTAGATAACTGCCCAGTGCAGTTATAGCAACTATGGAAATTAGTGATACCAAATGAATGGTAGCTTAAGAGTGAGGACTTGGCCAGGCGCAGTGGCTCATGCCTGTAATTCCAGCACTTTGGGAGGGTGAGGTGAGAGAATTGCCTAAACTCACGAGTTTGAGACCAGCCTGGGCAACTTGATAAGACCTCAACTCTACAATAAGTTAGAAAAAAAAAAAATTTAGCTGGGCGTGATGATACGTGCCTCTAGTTCCAGCTACTTGGAAGGTTGAGGTGGAAGGATTGCCTGAGCCCAGAAGGTCGAGGCTGCAGTGGCCGTGAGCATGCCACTGCACTCTAGCCTGGGCGACAGAGTGAGACTCCGACTTTTAAAAAAAGGGGAGGAGTGGTTAGGACTCTGAAGTCACAGTGCTGGGTTTGAACCCTTACTCCATCAAAGTAAGTAATGGGACCGTGGACAGATTATCCAGCATTGTAACTTAGTTTTGCTTCTTGAATAATGAGGTTAATACTGGTATTTACCTCATAAGGTTTTTGTGAGGATTAAATAATATAATAAGAGTGCTTGCAACAGTACCCGGCAGAATTAGGACTCAGAAGACAGTACTACTACTATAACAAACATGACTGCCTGGACCCACCTAGTTTCAGAGGGAACTAGTGTTTTCAGAGGTGGTAGACTGAGGGTGCAGCTAATCTAGTAATGATTGAGCTTAGCTAACCAAATGATTGATTCGAGCTAGACTGATGCAAGCTCATAACTAATGTCTTAATTATGACAAAATAATCAGAATGTAAATTATTAATTTCTTATGTAAGGGCCAAATAATAAACCACTCATTTCAAACCATATTAATAGTAATCATTAGCAATTTGTTATCTCATTAGCAATTAAGTTATCTCGATGTAAATAGTGTTACAGGTTGGCTGTCTTTTTTCTCTGCAGGGGGAAAGGAGATTCCCCAGAGGCTCGAGCATTGGCCAAACAGGTGGCCACAGCCCTCCAGAACCTGCAGACAAAAACCAACAGGGCTGTGGCCAACAGTAGACCCGCCAAAGCAGCTGTCCACCTTGAGGGCAAAATTGAGCAAGCACAGCGGTGGATTGATAATCCCACAGTGGATGACCGGGGAGTGGGTAAGCGCATCGGTGTACTTAACCCTGATTAAACTGGTCTCAGTGAAAATAAGCAAGTTGTTGATAGGGGTCCTGGACCATTTGTGATTGGGTGCAGAAAGGGTTCTTCAGCCAGTGGTAAGTCAGTTTTCAGTGTGATTCCATTTCCAAATATAGCCAATAAAATTAATATGATTTAACCAAGAAGTATTAGAGAATAAATGATTTTGCTATGAATAAATAGAAAGGATCTCATGTTGGAACTGAAACTTTGAACTAATTATTGCCCCTTCTACATATATGTCCATTCTGTAGTATTTCTGTTATCATAGTCTGTAAAGTACTCAGTTAAATAGAATTGTTGAAAATAAGTAAAAGGCACTTAACTGCTAGGCTATTTTAGTTGTCTGGGCTCCTGTATCACATAGTCACTGGTAGAATTCATAGCCTAAAATTTTGACTTTTGGGAGACTTTAGGAATGAATCTGTAAGAATTTAGGTCATTTTATGATAGCAAGCTGACTAAAGCTGAAAGATCTGTTTACTCCATTTGCTGTACTCATTGAATACAAAGGCTCATTTTAAAATTAGTTATACCCAGTGTTATGAGGAGTTGGAGAATCAGGCAGATGTATAACTTACTGGTGGATAAATGAATTGGTACAAGCTTTGTGAATTTGGTATTATATGTCAAGGGATTTAAAAAGTATCCATTGACTCGGCAATTTGACTTAAAGGAATTTTTTTTCTAAGAAATGTATAAATCTGTTTCTAAGGAATTCCTTGTAAGAATGTATGTACACAGTATAGATATTTAATAAGCAAATGGTGAAATAGTTATGGTTAATACGCTAAAATATCACATAGATTTTAGATCATGATTTTTAAAAGATACTTAGTTAAATGGGAAAATAAAAAGAATTAAAGTGTTAGATAAGGCCAGGCATGGTAGCTCATGCCTGTAATACCAGCACTTTGGGAGGCTGAGGCATGGGATCACTTGAGCCCAGGAGTTCGAGACCAGCCTATGCAACCTAGTGAGACCCTGCCTCTACAAAAAGACAAAAAATTAGCCATGTGTAGTAGCTAATGTGTTCCAGCACATTGGTGCAGGTGATTGGATTATGTATGCTTATGATTTATGTGTTCTTATTTATACTTTGGAATTATTTCCCCAATTTTTTGGTTAGAAAACCTCCCTCCCCTCGATTAAATGTCATTATTTAAAAAAAAAAAACTTACATTGCAGTTGCCTTCTCTGGGTCTGTGTGAGTTTTATTGTTTTTCTCTTGGTGCAGGTCAGGCTGCCATCCGGGGGCTTGTGGCTGAGGGCCATCGTCTAGCTAATGTCATGATGGGACCTTATCGCCAAGATCTTCTTGCCAAGTGTGACCGCGTGGACCAGCTGACGGCACAGCTGGCTGACCTGGCTGCTAGAGGGGAAGGGGAGAGTCCTCAGGCGCGAGCACTTGCATCTCAGCTCCAAGACTCCTTAAAGGTAGAACTCAGGAACACTTGTCATTATGCTTTATTATAGGAGTAAAGGAAGAATTTTTAAAAACAGATAATTTCTTGGGTCTAGGGAAAGTGAAAAGAGTGTGACTGAGGGTATAAGGAAATCCAGAGCTTATTGGGAAAAAGCTCACCAATATGTGATCGCAACTAAATTTGTGTTTTCTGAATTTCACTCAATCAAGAACTTTTTCATGATTCTTGCTCTCTCCATATATCTATCACCTGTGCTTTTATTAAGTTAATATTTTTCCTAAAATTGACTCCTTTTTAAAACTTAAATTTATTTAAAAGAAAATTTTGTAATAGTCCTGAAATCATGGGTTTGAAAACTTAAATTGGTTTCAGTGTAATGACTATGAAAAAGAGCTTTTTCATGGTTTCTAAGAATCCTGTTTTTTAGACCCATGTTAAGAAATAAATACATATATTTGTCATCAAGTTTTTCTAGAAACTTAATTGAAAAAACCTGGATTAAAAAAATTCCTGGCCGGGTGCGGTGGCTCAAGCCTGTAATTCACAGCATTTTGGGAGGCTGAGACTAGGGGATTGCCTGAGCCCATGGGTTCAAGACCAGCTGGGGCAACTTGGTGAGACCTTGTCTCTATAAAAAAAAAAAAATAAAAAAATT